GTTGCTATTTGTATTTCGCCTACGCGATTTGCAACAAACGATCGAAAATCATGTTCATGACCTCGAATCCACCCAGCCTAGACCTAGGCCTTCTATTTTTATTTATATTTTTTTAATATTCAGCGCTTTTTCACATGAAAAGACTGGGACTAGGTGACTTGGGGGCGGGGCGGAGGAAGGACACAAGCCTGACGCAAGCGAAAAAATAGAAGGCCTAGTGGATTTCCCAACAACAAGGACAAAACTGCCCTGAAACTGCCCTGATTGCAAAATGCCCAATTGTTGCGTTCTCAAACAGAATTATTTGCAACTTAACAGCGAATTTAAACCGATACAGGTAAAATAAACTCATTTATAGTATAAACTTACTGTATACACGTCTAGAAAATCGGGGTTTTTATCATAAAGTTTGAAGCAACACTTTTTATATATGTTGACAAGGTGTAGCGAAACGGCACAAAATAATAGTTCTTTTATTCGCAAGACAATCTACTGTTTTGCTTTGAATAACTATATTTGCGAATTGGGATTGAGGATTTTGAAATTATTGTTCAAATATTACAGATATACCATTTGTAAACAATCATGTACGTTTTTATATACAGTACTGTACGGGCTAATAATATATGTATCCGTTTTATTTTGTATATTTTACAAACACAAGACTGCTTCTTGCCAAAATTGAGAAAATATATATTAATGTAGTTGTGTATAAGACAAAATTTCATGAAAGATTCTACTTTTGGTATATATTTTGCCTCATTTTGTGCTTTTGCTACACCTTGTCAACATATTAAATATTAAATAGTGTTGCTTCGAACTTTATGATAAAAACCCCGATTTTCTAGACGTGTATACAAATAAAAATAGTAAGTTTATACTATAAATGAGTTTATTTTACCTGTATCGGTTTAAATTCGCCGTTAAGTTGCAAATAATTCTGTTCGAGAACGCAATAATTGGGCATTTCGCAACCAGGGCAGTTTCAGGGCATTTTGGCCTTGTTGTTGGGAAATCCACTAGGCCTTCTAGGCTTGCTTCCTCCGCCCCGCCCCCAAATCACCTAAGTCCCAGTCTTTTCATGTGAAAAAGCGCCGAATATTAAAAAAATATAAATAAGACTAGAAGGCCTAGGTCTAGGCTGGAATCCACCATAATACATATTTGCTGTCCGAGAAGAACATGACCGATTGCATTGGTATCTCAAGAACGCGACTGATGTTCTGCGTTAAACGAAGGCCTAGTATTGCCCCCCATCAGTCCAGTCTTGGCACCGTCACAGGTTTCAGTGGCGAAACTTTACTTTTGGAAGCGATCATGCGACTGCTTGTAGTTTGATCTTCATATTCACATAGCAAATAGACTACTGCTCCATATGCCTGGATGGATGCATCTACAAAGATGATAATCTTCCTGGTCAGAACTTTCTTCGATTGTCGCAAACATCTCGGACACGAAGACTTGCTAGACTTCCTAACTGTTGAAACCAACGCAGAATTTTGTCACCAATCTCATCCAGAATGACGTCATCCAAATCGTAACCTCTCTTCCACATTTCTTGGAGAAGAATCTTTGCGACGACAACGAATGGACTCACGAAACCAAGGGGATCGAAAATGGCCGCGATTTTTTTTCAATACATTTCGTTAAGTCATCAGTATGTCTGAGGGAGCATAAGCAGTTGAAACCGATAACACATCTAATTTGCTTCCCAATGAAAGTCGTAGTGTTTTAACAGCCAGGTCTTTACTGTTATTCAAGCTTAATTGAATTGCACGGTTTTTTTCTGGGGTTGCAGAAACTACTTTTTGAGAGTTCGAGATCCATTTTCGAGCTTGCATGCCGGCCAAATTCCACAATGCGTCTAGTTGCCGATATAATTCGATTCCGTCTTCCTCTGATTCAACACTATCAATGGCATCATCCATATATGTTGATTTTAACACTGTATCAGTTGCCATTGGATATGTACTTTGGTTTCTTCTGGCGTTCTCTTGTGCGACAATCTGACATTCTATTGATGCTGCATTCTTTCCAAAAACAACATGATTAAATTCGAGCACCTCATGCTCACGATCTCTGTCTCCATCTCTCCATAAGATGTTAAACATGGCACGATCGTTCTCTTTTATCTCCTCTTGTAAGTACATTTCTTTGTATCACATACAAGCGCGACTGGGTTTCGACGGAAACGAATCAACACGTCAAACAGCTCCTACTGTAATTTTGGTTGCGCATAGATGACGTCATTTAGGGAAATCCCATCCGTCTTTGCTGAACAATCGAACACAATTCTGACTTTGGTCGACGTTTTATCCATTCGTACTACCGGAAAATGTGGCAGGTACCATACCTCTGGTGGGGGTGACTCTTCTTCAGTAACTCGTTTCATATATCCCTTCTCGATATAAATCTCAATAGTCTTTTGGTAGTCGCCTTGTATGAATTTATCCTTTTCTAGCTTTCTCTCGGTGTTGTACAAACGAGACATTGCCTGTTTACGATTATCAGGCAACTTTGGACGATTAGCTTTCCATGGTACTCCAACTGTGTACCGGTGGATGTTACGTATCAAAGGCTTTAGATAAATCCAGGAAAATCCCCACAGAAGTTTCTTTTCTGTCAATCGCGTCTGTAATCTTGTCATTTAATCGATCAAAGCAAGTGAAGTTGAATGATTTTTGCGAAATCCGTATTGATTATCATATAATATCTTAACTAATTTATCGAGATATGCCAATAAACGATTATACATAGCCCTTTCAAGAAACTTTGAAAAACATGGAAGTATAGATACTGGTCTATAATATGAGAATATTGCACGATCACCTGCTTTAAATAAGGGAATTACACAGCAATTTTCATATCATCAGGGACAATGCCACTACCAATGGACAAGTTAAGTATATGAGAAAATGGTTCTGCAATGATGTTAATAAACTGTTTAATTATTGACATAGGAATTTTATCATAACCAGCAGTTTTATTTGATTGAAACGATTTAGCAATTTCAACAATTTCAGTGGAGGTCACACTATCAAGGAAAACAGACTGAGAATAACATCCAGAAAGAAACAAACGATGTGACTGAGAAGGTTTTATTTTCTTGGCAAGATTTGGGCCAATATTAGTGAAATAGTTGCAAAATTTATTGGCAATTAAAATTGGATCAGAGATCTCCGTGTTATCATTCGTTTTAAATAATGAACTTATGGTAAGCTTTGATTTCTTTTTATTAATTACCTCATTGAGAACCTTCCAAGTAGATTTCATGTCAGATTTCATACTTTGCAATTTACTAGCATAGTATGATGCATGATTTGGCAATCTTTATTGAATGATTCAGTTTATTCTTGTATCTTTTGTAATACGAATCGTTTTCAGGTGTAGGGTTACGTAAGTAACGTCTATATAACTTATTTTTTCTTTTTATGGATTTTAAAATTCGTTTTGACAACCATGGTTTACTTGAAAAATGATGTTTTCTTTTTATATGCTTAAGTGGTAAACACGTGTTGTATATTTTAGTAAATTCAGAATGGAAGGCCTTATATGACTGATTTGGATCATTAAAACCTTCAAGTTCTGACCAATTAACCCTGGACAATTGCTCACTAAACTTATTTAAATTATACTCGTTTTTTTTCTCGAATAGTGATTGTTTCATTTTTCTTATTTACTGTCTGATTATTTTCAAAGCAAATACAAAAATTTGGAAGATGATCCGAAATATCAGTAAACAACAAGCCACTTTTCATATTGCTATGCAATTGATTGGTAAATATATTATCAATTAGTGTAGCCGAATAAGAGGTTATTCTTGAGGGACGAAGTATCAAAGGAAAGATTGTGTTAGAGTACATTTGCTCCAAAAACTCGCCGGTCAGCGAGCGTTGCTGGAAGCTTAACAAGTTTAAATTAAAATCCCCATTATGTAACAAGTCTTATTTTCTTTTGTAATTTTACAAAGCAATTCATTATAATTAGTCAAAAAACTGGTAAAAACTTGGTTAGGAGGTCTATAAATTACCCCTACAATAATATTCTTACCGATAGAATTATTTATTTCAATAAATAAAGATTCCGCTATTTCTTCGTTTTCAAAACACAAATCACCACGGATTCTCGAATCATAATTTTCGGACAAATACAAACCAACACCCCCGCCAACTCTATTTAATCGATATTTTTAAAAAAAACTAAAACCATTTATATCCACTAAATGACTCGCATTTTGTAACCATGTTTCAGTAATACCAATGACAGAAAATTGTATATTTAAATTATGCAATAAATTTGTTAATTTATTTAAATTTCGATCCAAACTACGAATATTCAAATGAAAAATAGAAAATTGACTGGAACAATGAATTTCGTTTTGAATTAGTTTGTTGAATTGATCCTCTATTAAATAATCACAAAAATAGTTTAAATCACAATAGAAATGCGAATCAAGATCCGCATCATTGGCGAGGGTAAGGTTTTGATTTGCATTTGCAAACAAGGGATTATAACTCAAACTTGCCAAACTGTCTGTATTAAAATTAACTGGCCCAGTATTTAGCTCAAATATTTCTAAGTTAAAGCTGTCATCTTTTAAGCCGTGAAAAGGGAGGACCTCGCTGTATGATAGAGCCATTGTATTGAATAAAAATAGTAATATGAGAAATGAATGTGTACTTAGCTCATAAATAGTTCGATTTAAATCGATCAAATTCTTTAATTGAGCTGAATGAGGTTGACCTAGCTTCATCATCTTCTTTCAAAAACGATTTACCATTCATAGTCCAGGCATATTTGAAATGATGTGCTCTTCTAAATTCTCTCACATTAAAGTATAACTCTTTGGCACGTGGAGACAAACTTTCCTTGATATATAACTTGTTTTCCGTATTGACACAACCGATGTCAGACGAGTTTCTAGATTTCAACTTTCCCTTTCTTTGATAAATAATTTCTTTAGTACATCGCTTGGTAAATTTTTCAATAATGGGTGGAGTTTATCCTCTTCTAGATGGCAGACGATGGGAGCTAGATATATCGTACGGATTAATTTCGACTCCGACTAAGTTGGCGACACGCTTGACTAATTCATCCGTGTTTTCCGTTGAATTTTGTGGTATCCCGTGAAATTCAAGGCAGTCCCGTCGACTATATGAGTTGATGTTTTCTTGTTCTTCTTCAAGCCTCGACACTTTCGCATTAAGCTCATCAACTTCTCGTTTTAATTGAACATTTTCCGCTTTAATCTGGGTCATTTCTGCTAATATCTGATCGAATTTGTCGCTCATAAACTGTTGACTAGCTTGAATAGCTTTTATGTCATTATGTAGTACTTCTTTTGATTTCACGATAATTGCATTTAATTCCTTCGCATGTTCGTTCAATCGTTTATTTAGGATTTCTTCAAAAGACGACACATCAGGCATTAATAGAGATGAACTATTAACTTCGACGTCGGCCGCAGCTTGTGCCACGGCTGGTTTCTTCTTAGGAGGCATAAAGATTCAGATTGTTTTTAGACAAATGCAGAGCTCAAGAATGCACGTCCGCACTGTGTGGGCGCACTAAACCAGCTAGCCCAGTTCTTCTAGGGTTGTTCGTCCAAGTAAAGGTAAGGAGTTGATTTTCCCTTTAATGATAACCAATGGTGCTTGTGTTATGCGTGTCTCGTTTTCAATGTTCACAATGCATTCGCCTTTAACCGGTAGACGTATCTCTGGTGACTTGGTTTTCAACTCTTGAAGTTGTATTTCATCCATAATGTTAGAGTCTGCACCTGTGTCTGGTTCAACGAGTGTTTTATGACCATTTATGTAAACAACACAGGATAAAGTCGTTTCATCCCCTGTCGTCCTGTGTATCTTTAAGTGGTTTACCAAGTCGCTAGCTCTCACTTGATGTGCTCATGGCCAGAAATTTGGGACAGTTTGGCTGCTAACTATGCGCACAACTGACCAATTTTGCGAATTCAAGATGGCGGAAATGCTAAGAATTAATACTATAATCATACAAATGCGATGCGCATGCAGAAACAAAATATAATTCTCAAAGTGTTTACGTCTAGAAATGTACAAATTACCTCGACGAGTAATCCCCAAAACTCTTGATGTGTCACGATTTGCCATTATTCCGCCCGAGTAACTCAATTTTACAGTATAATCTCGCAATGTAAACTCCTATTAAGTACAGTAAAATCCCCATTGTTTACCAAGTTGAGGTCAGTGTGGTGTTGCTCTAAGAGCTCGAAGACGAATTATTTACGTCTACATTTCTTGTACGACAGTTGATCTCTCCTTTTGTATTGATTTAGATTCATTTTAACTTGTACGCGCTCCGCCAAACGCATTTAAAATAGCGTGTATTTCATGAGAACTGTAAGCTAATACCAAGTGTTTTGGACAAAGCACAGCGAAGTCCCAAAACTTTGAACGTTTTAAAAGCGTCGTCGTGGGTTCTTGTCAACCATTTTGAAAACATTTGTACGTACAACCGCTGATTGTTGTTTATAAAGGACAGGGGGCTCCAAAATAGGGAAAAAATCGCGTCAAAGTCAAACTTAAATCCCGTGAAATTCACTATATTTTGATGTACTTTTGTAGTTTTGGACTTACAAACTATTGTGTTCAATCAATTGAAAGATTGTAAATAAGGAAATAGTCGCCACAGTCTTTAACTGATATAAAATTAGCTCCGAAGTTCGCTTGAGACGCCTTTAATGTCTGTTTGTAATATGCTGACGCTGCAGAATTTAGCGAATTTTGGCGCCCGCAATACATTTCGCTGACTGTCCTTCATTTCTGGCCATGTGCTTTCTGTACTCGGGCTTCGATCTCTATTGTAGGTAATATGCTTGACATTTTTAGTTTCTAACATTTTCCTGTCTCTCCGATTTCTTTCTCCTGATTTTGATTGTTGTGTGTCTCTTGTGTCTTTGCCTTCGAATTGTCGTTGTCGTCTGCCATTTGAAAATCTTTATGCGGGCTTCGATCGACATACTTTGGCGTAGTGGTTACGTTTACCACATGCATTGCAAAGAGATCCCATTGCTGGACATTGTTTGTGAGCTCGGTCATATCCACAACGGTTGCAAGGATTTGTTGTTTTTTCACGGGTCGATGATGTGCTTTGTTCACGGAAAATCTGAGACGAAGGTCGTTGTCGTTGTTGTCGATAATTTATGACTCGTTTGATTGTTTCGTCTGAATTTACTTTCTTCTCCATCTCTTTAGCTTGTGTTCGGGTTTCCTCGTCCAACTCAGCTTCTTCTAGAATTTGGTCGAGCGTCCAATTCTTGCGTATTGCTTTGATGCGTACAACATTGTTCGTCATTGTTTTTATTAAGTGGTCTCGAATAGCTTCGCTCTCGTTTGAGAAACTGCATTTCTTTGCTATTTCCCTGATGCGTGTATAGTATCGAACAAGCGATTCATCGTGGTTTTGCGTCAGATTTCCGAACTGAAATCTAGCATGCGCAAAATCTTTGTTCGTCTTTGCTAGAAAATGTTTGTTGAGCTTGATTATGAGTTGTGCATAGGCATCTTCACTGGCTTCGTCGCCTGTAGCGTCGAGAAGTGTGTCTTCTAAATCTGCGATTCTTTGACCGCCGTAAGTTATTGAACCGCCTTTCTTCATCTCTGGGTCTGTGATCCCAAAGTAGCGAAACTGTCTTTCGATATTCCGTAGCCATTTCTACCATCCTGAGCAGTTTCAGTGCGATTTTTGTTGATCTTAAATTGTCTCACGTTGAGTTGGCGGTTGGTGACGCTTATATTATTTACGCTCGCGTTCGTATCAGAGCTAGAACCTTTTTCTCCTTGTCGTGGCTCATAATTTCTTGCTTTAGATCAATCTTTAGTACATCCTCGTCGCCAATGTAGTAACTTAAATACTAATGTAATAGGTCTTCAGCTCTTCGCTTAACGTTTTATTCTATACTACGAATATTCTCAGGTTACACAAATATCGGCTCATGTACATTAGTTCCGGTAAGGTTTATGATTGGTTGTTACAGTGACCAGGGGCGGATCTAGGATTTTTCGTACGTAAGTAAAAAATTTCGTGCTGAATATCGGGGGAGGAGACTACTTTTGACTGGGGGGGGCTACTTTTGACTGACTATATGTGTTCTGTTTACGAAAAATCTAACTTAAAAAATGGCTTTTTGCCAAATGTCAAACAGATATCCAATTCTCATCCAGAAATAGATTGACAAGGATGAATTGACGTTTTAAAAATTGTTATTTAATCGCATATTTTTTCCTTTGACATGGATGGTCAAAACATTTTGCAATATAGTGATGCAGTTTAAAACATTTGATTGATTGTTAAAAGCAAGAAGAGAATTTCCACGTTTTATTCACTGCTCCTCGAGTTTCATTCGTAGCAGAAACATGCGCCATGAATAACTATTCACAATGGCAATATGATCCATTTTCCCCGAGCCGACGGCGCGAAGCGCCGTGCGTGAGTACTAATTCCCCCCCGGCTATTTACACCTGGGGAAACGAAAGCATTAGCGAAGTCTAAAGTTCACCAAATATCGCGGGTGTGGCTCACGAACGATGTTTCGGTGGGTGGTCATCCTCACTGATCTAAAAAATATGGCGGACTGTCATGAATAGCGGACACTGATTGGTTCAATTTAAAGTTTGCATTATAACTACTGCATGACGACAGCGAAATAGCAAACATTTCTTGATTTCATGATTGATAAATTTCTTGCAAATATATTTCATTTTTGCTCGTATTTTTGGAAGATTTTGTAAATTTCAAAACCTTCAGAAAGAAAGGGCGAAAAAATCGGCTAAAAGAAGGGAGCCGACGTTAACGAAGGTAAGTTTGTTTTAAATATTGATTATATAATGGCTATAAAACCCGACGGCCTTTGCGTATATGAAACAACTAAACAAGACAGCATATAATTTCAGTTTATCTTTATTAAATATTGATTCCTTTTGTTATTATATTGAAATTTTTAATTAAAAAAGAAAGCAAACTTATTTGCATGCAAGAATTTGAGATCATTTTATTGCAAACTCAAAGTTTATCGATAAAGCCACTTAATTAAAGGCAGTTTAGTTTTATAAAGAACACTTTAAAACAGTTTGGAAGCATTTGTGGTTGAATTTTACCTTAAATTGAAGCTTATATTACGTATAATAACATATCTAACATATATATGTTGGAAAATTGATAATTTTGTAATTAAAAGTGATATTTTTAGGCAATTGTAAGAATATTCTTAAAAAATTATCGTGTTTGCATGACAACTACTTTAGATACTTCATGTTTGGAAAATACAATTGTTTTGTCAGCAAGCTAGGGTTTCTGCATGTATGTATTTTCTAGTACTTGTTATATACATGTTGTAGAGATCGTATTACACAAGGCCATGCTACATTGTCGTGTTCTTGTAGTTTAAAATAGGTATAAATAGTACAGTGTTATTAAATTAAGTAACTATATGATTAATGTATAAAGTCCACATGTCACAAGAAGCATAATCAAAGTATAAACACACTGAAACTGCCTGTATTATGCCGCCGTATTTATGTAAATTGACAGAAACATTATGTAAATTTCATCTCGTATTATTATACGTCTTATACGCGTACCCGCCGATATATTATAGCACGTGCGTGCAGACGCACAATCCACCACAGTATACAACAGTTATAATGTTACATCTATTTAAAATAGAATATATATATATATATATATATATATATATATATATATATATATATATATATTTTAACGCCTTACAAAAGATTTTTGTCTTCTCTCGAACGTACTTCAGGATGTAAGATTCCGCACCAAAATTTCTTGCGAGGAAGGCTGCTTATGTTATTCACAACGCTCGATAAATCTTTAATAGAAAGCTTCGGTACACCGTTACTCGCTTGTTTAAATCAGCTTCAATATCTTTGACATTTTGTCGATCGTCATTCTGTAAACCAGCCTTTACGGTTTCGTAAATACTAACAGACATGGCTAGTATTAGTTCAGAATTTCTGATAGTAAATCTTCCCATTGAACTTTACTAATTTGCGGTCAAGCACAAAGTAGCGATCAGAAAGGGCCAGAAACGTCATAGAGCTTTCCGTGCACTAATAAAGCCTGAATGGTATGATCGATCAAAAAAATCCAGCCAATGGGAATTCAGGATTTTTTGAATTAGCCAATCGGATAGCCTGCATTCGAGCCCCTGATCGCTTTAGCGATCAGAACTCCCCACAGATCGCGCAAAAATCGAGATAGCCAATCAGATGGCTGGAATCTGACTCAGAGCGTACAAAACTCATGCGTAAGTCCGTTTTTCTGCGCATTCACGTTCCAGGGCCTTGCTACTGAATGATATTTCAAAACTGGACTGTCAAACTTTCAATACATTGCACTGCGCGAAGTTTGATAACTGGATTGCTATTTTAATTTAACAATTCTCTATTTTTCTGGCCAATTGCTTGATATTGATGACTTAGTGCGTTCGTTATTTATTTCAAAATTCTCCTGTTTGTTATTAATTCTTTTTCGAACTTTTTAATGTTTCTTCAAGTAACGAAATGTGTTGGCTTCTTTCTTGTTCGCTGCCGATACAGTCGTCGTAATCGTGCAACTGGTCGTCATGACTGTGCGATGGGTGTTGACTTCTTTTTCCTTCGCCGCCATTATTGTCGCTGTCGTTGTGGAGTATATCTGATTCTTCGTCGCTCGTCATTTCATCAAGTATCTCTTGATTTTGTTGGGCGGACGAAAAGAGCTTGTCTTGAACAACATCAGCTTGCTCACCATCGACTATTAAACTTTGCGATTCGACATACCAGCGCAAAGTGATGCTCGGATGTTTGAGGTCCTTACAACCGCCTCGCGGCGACATCCCATTAAAGTCTCCCGAACCTTTTTTGATAAATGCCTGAAGTGATTCAAAATCTCCTGACCACTTTAGCTTCCCTTTAGCTGTTTTTTTCACATGATTTTGCAACGTAGAATCGAGTTCTACAGTATCTTCAGCAAAAATCTCGGAGCTCTCCATGACACGTCTGCTCTATATGACCATTCGAGACGGTATGATCATTATAACTCATGTCCCTGCTCTGCGTCTCCCAGCAACACTGTCAGAGCAACACTGTCAGATTCGTTGTCTGATACAGGCTCAGACAGTGAGCTAATTGCTGCGGAGCGAGCGAGCTTGAAGCGAGCGAGCGTAGCAGCAGCCTAATATGTGCAGAAAGGGGGTTTTAAACTAAATTTTATTTAGCGCATGGAATTGTGGTCGTGCGCGCTTTCTATGGGCAGAACACAAATTTTAAATTCGGTCGAATCTTCGAATTTTGATCGAATTTCTAAAGCTTTTTCAATTCTAATGTTACGCTTACATTTGTTTTGGACTTTGGCCAGTGTCAGTTCTATATTTTTATAAAGTTTTGGTTTCTTAGTGTGATAAATGTGTGTATATAATGTATATAATGTGATAAATGTGCCTAGCAGTAAACAGACTTGATATGAAATCTGATCTTAATTTACCTGTATGTCAATGAGACGCACATGTTTAATACCTGTCACCTCTGATTTCCCTTTAACCCCTGGTCTTTGCTACTTCAATATATATTGCTTCTTCTCAGTTCCATTCACGGCTCACTAGTCGCTGCAAGTAATCGTCACTGTGCTTGATATAATTTGTGCTGTTTACTGTAGTTCTATTTGCTTTTAATGCCCGCAGCAATCCCTACCTGCCGGGTACCCTAATTTTAGCTTTTTGCCGTGTTTGTGCTTGGTTGATCCGAGACAATGCTCTCATGTTTTCGTTTGTTTAGCGATACGCCTAGTGCACAAATATTATCATTCATTTTTGATAACAACTCCATTATTCGTTCCTTCTTAGACAGTCTTCGTCAGTCTGATCTTGTTCTTCTTCAGTAAGTAGTAATTCTTTCTTCATATCCGAAGTGTTTTCTGCCATTTTTATTCAATTTTTAAGCGGAAAATTTTTGTTGTTGACGTTCGCTCGAAGAATCCTTTGTAACTGCCGCTCGATCCTTCCCGCGCTATCTCACACGTGACTCCGTAGCGAACTAACCAATTATTATTATTATTATTATTATTATTATTATTATTATTATTATTATTATTATTATTATTATTATTATTATTATTATTATTATTATTATTATTATTATTATTATTATTATTATTATTATTATTATTATTGTCTTCATATTTATCCAGGATACCCACATCACCGAAATGTTTTTCAGTGGGGTCCTGCAACTTTAAATTACAGTATATTAATTCAATATCTAGTCATGCACTATTTACAGCAACACATACGATGATAATCATGATAGACCAGCGAAGAGAGAGAGAGAGAGAGAGAGAGAGAGAGAGAGAGAGAGAGAGAGAGAGAGAGAGAGAGAGAGAGAGAGAGAGAGAGAGAGATTATACGCTGAACAAAATAGTTTCTCATTTCCAAACGTTTGGCTTGCAACAATGCATTTTCATATACATTTGAGACACAATAAAATTCAGCATAGAATATGCACTAATTAGGTTGTTCAATCACAAGATAAAGGTATATTAAAATTAGGACATTTCTTATAGCACAGACCGGGACGAAATATTTGATGGAACAAAAACAAACAAATATAATGAACTAATTAGGTGAAATTTCCTGGCTAGCCTCGCTATCATGAGCTGGATCTTCGATCCGTTTCTGTCGCTGCTCTGTGCGTCCGACGAAGTTGCTTTCGCTAACGAATAAAATGCAATGAAAAAGCTACACATTTGGGTGGCACGTAAGGCGTTAAAAGTTTGTCAGAGCTTGTCGCATTATTTGAAATTGGAGCGAAAAAGAGTGAAGTTGGGCATGAATGAGGCGGAGACTAAAATGGGCCATAGGTGGAAGTTTCTAACTGCTTACCCGTGCAGTTGGTTCCGTTGGCTTCATACCCTACATCGCAGGTGCACGTAAATGACCCGTTGGTATTAGAACAAATTTCAATAATATCACAAGGATCAGCATCGCACTCGTTGATATCTAAGAAATAAGAATAGATACTATATATCTTTATCAGTGATTTAATATCGCGTGCAAATCATTGAAAATTTTCCATATGTATTAATTTTTTAACGACACGTTTGAGTGACTGGCCGAATGGATGATGTTGTTGATATCAACAGAATTGGAAAAAAATATTTAAAATTTATTGTTTTCACCGTCAACAGGTATGCATAAACATGAACATGAACATGAACATGAACATGAACATGAACATGAACATGAACATGAACATGAACATGAACATGAACATGAACATGAACATGAACAAAAAGATAAACTTGAACGAGTTCCTGGCCGTGTCTTAATTGACAATGACATAATATAACCCAATAATAAGGTATTCATATAACCTAAGCCGTTCAAGTGTCCCTGCCGCAAAATGAGAGTTTGCATTATTAAAATCTTGTTCAAACGTAGATTATGAAAATACAAAACAGATTTGAGATTGAGCTAGTTTTTACAGAGTATAATAGACACTTCCCGAATTTGCTTGAGTGCACACGAAACAATAGCTTGGAATCGAGGCGGACAATGTAATCCATTGGAAATAAGTATAGTTTTCCAATGGATTACATTGTCCGCCTCGATTCCAAGCTATTGTTTCGTGTGCACTCAAGCAAATTCGGGAAGTGTCTATAGGGCAATGAAATTTGAAAATTTCAACTTTTAAAGGCAAAAGTTTTTGAAAAGGTGGGAAATTGGTAACGTGATAGTAGGGACACATTGCCTACTCACGCAAGTGAAAAGTATATAAATACTAAGTGAGAATCGCAATCAAGTTAAGCTGGTCATATTCAGTATAAAAATGTCTTCGACGAGTACGATGATACGGAAAATAACAGTTACCAAAGCGATGACTGACTTAAACTATATTCATTGGTAGTAGCAAATCGAGTGAATCGATGCATGAAAACACTAGTGATAAAGAGCGAGGCCAAGCAGGGCCGATTATGAGTACGACGTTTGTCCATATCTTAAACTAGAAAAAACATGCATGAAGCAACCCCTCGCCTTTCTTAACAGATGAAGTATAAAAACTCCACATAAAGTATTAAGACCATTATAACAGGGTTCGTACAGGTCAGCAAGAGTTAAATTCAAGGACTTTTCAAGGACATTCAAAGTATCAGCAAATTCAAGGATTAAATAGTGAAGGTGTTAGAAATAAGCAAAATCTGACGTTGAATTGTTCAAGACGTAACTTTACAATGAGGCCAGATATGAACATGCAAAATCAGTTCAACAGAATGTCCGTCTTGAATGTCAAACAATTTCAGAAAATATCCAAAAACTAAAGCAGGAAGAATTCAAGGACATTCAAGTACTTCTTTACAAATTCAAGGACATTCAAGGCCTTGAAGTTTTGTTTTCAAATTCAAGGACATTCAAGGACTTTCAAGTTTTGTACGAACCCTGTTATAAACAAACATAAAAACACGGCTGATGCGCTACAATACATGTTTTGTTCAGGATTGTCTGAAATGAGTCGAAATTAGCCAGATAGAGGTGGAATCATTCATTTTACTGTAAACACTCGATAGAATTCATATTGAAAGAGGGATCATATAAAACCCTTACTCTTTTTGCAAGTGGTGACATTTTTTATTTTGTTGGCAGCATACCTTATCTCAGAATCTTGACTTACAGTAGATGATTACCCATTAGATTGAGTGGCAGGCAAAGCCTTCCATTCTGCACTCAAAAGTATCAATTATGAATACTGGATTTTGTTCATTCAGCATTGGCTTCCAGAAATGTGATAAAAAGGCAAGGTGCATGTAATACAAAGCTAGATTGATAATCAATCATTGAATCACGAATGATTTGTCTTATAAATGACCATTAATACATTAGGCACTAGCACTCTCCACTTGAGTCTTGACAAGTAAAATTGTCTTGCGTTAGACAGAGAACAATAATTTGGCACTAACCCATGGATTGAGTTGCATTGCACCCTGATGCGCCCCACTTTATTACTTTACTCTGACTAATGCCAGACGATTTTACTTGTCCACGGGAGAAAGCTGGCACTTAATGGTTAAAGACATTAATAAAATAAGAACGTAGGCACATAGGGGCACAATGCAACTTAACACAAATAAAATTGTCTGGCAATTGGCATTAGACAGGAATACAATAAAGTAGGAGTGCAATGCAACTTCATGGGTTAAAATTTGAAATTTTGCCTGTGAGACAGAGGAGGTTGGACAGGCGGACACGTGCACAGTTTAACCAATCAGCACAACGTATCTACATTTGAGCTTCGCAACAAAAACAAAGCCAAGGAAATCAAAAAGCTTTAGAATTTGCATATTTTCCTCCCTCTGTATGTAAATTTTCCTCGATATATTTGCGCATTTTGTTTTACTGTTGAATATATTACGTTTTTTTGTCGGGTAAATGTCAATATTATTTTTGTATCAGTTGTCTCAATAGGTCCTTTAACTCACACAGGTGTAAACAAACCCTGTGTGTGTCAGCGACGTTTAAATGAAAAAATATGTTTTCTCACTTCTCTGACATCCATTATTTGTCGCCAATATTTAAAACAGTTGTCTAATCTACAACTTTCACCGTTCGCCCCCCGACGCCCATAACGCCATTCATGAAATAGAACGCTTTTAATATGGATGATCATATTCTCGTACACCACCATGGCTACGCTATGAATCGTCTAGATACTTTGTATCCTTGTAGTTATATGATTTTTAAGCTCCATTATTAATATTAAACGCAAAATATCCACATATTTTAAGTTTTGTTTTGAGCTATAAGATCCTAATTGATATTATAATACATGTTTTAGGCAAACAAATATTGTGTTTAATGCACCTATCAATGTTAATATATAATAAAAACCTGCAATAATGAAGTATGAACCCTTCTTTGCCTGTAAAACATATTGCACATTTATAACTATAAAATATTAAAACTGTAATGTCGTGAGTATTATGTATACTTCTCAATTTTCTTCCATAGTTCAACACCACCTAGTTATATTTTAACAAACTATATAATGTCTGAAAGCACCTAGAGATATCACAGTCCTCCATCTGGTGCTACACCTGGAACGAAACCACCAAAAAGGCATATGTAAGAAAATGTAAAAAAGACATCAAGGAAATCTTTGTTTCAAACTGGGACGGTAGTACTTTTACCTACCCGATTCTTGTTAACAAATTAATTAAGATAGAAAAATGTGCTCTATTGCTATTTCAAAGCGAAGGTAAGCATTTTTTTAAATACCCAAAACTTAAATTCTGAGCCTGCGTAGATTTGATGAGCTAGCAATTTGGTGGCAAAAATTATGTACACGACAAGTATTGTACTCAACCATTTAGCTTGTTGCAAAGGTTTCGTGAAGACTGGCGCTTCAGTTAACACGGGCCAGCCCCTTATAAGCAGCCCCTTATTCCTCTCTTGGTAAATGAACAACAAGCCTAGTAGCAATAAACCAAAAAATATTACAACTCCCCTGATGCCAACATGGGCAATATTCAATTTTGACAGATCAAGAGGAAATGCATCCCTCTTTATTATTTTACTCTGTCTAATGCCAGACGATTTTACTCATGGGGGGAGAGTTCTGCCACTCAATGGGTTAATCAGACTATCTGCCCATGCACCCTGTTAACCATTTAAGCGGCAATTAATGCGCCCCACTTTATTATTTTACTCTGTCTAACGCCAGACGATGTTACTCATCAGGGGGAGAGTGGTGCCACTCAATGGGTTAATATAGTTATAAATATAGTTAATATAGTTATAAATAGCATGAAAAATATTAAAATTTTAAATTAGAACTAATATGTATGTACACTATATATGAATTTGATATAAATTATAAATTGTAATGAAAAGTGTCAGCGGACTGATTTGCTCTTTCTAACTACATTTTGGTGCCACTACCCACGCCTTGTTATCATGATTTTTGGATAAAATCCGTATTTCAAGAAGTCAAGCCTAAAAACAATATGTTCCACATAAACACTGACAATGTCATCTGCTGCAAGTAAAGGGTGCAAGTAATAACACAATTACTTTGTTACATATCCCACCACTTTCCAGTCTGACCCATAGTCCATGTCAATAGCAAATGCATTGCCATCATTAATGTTGTTTGGCTCAGGTCTTAGTCTGACAGCAACATCCTTTTTCTGTTCATGTAGAACATGATGAGCTTTCTCCAGACGCTCTTGATATTCTTTCTCATGTGCTGCACCAATATATTTAAGAGCAGATGTCCACTAAAATGGAGCAAAATCGAGAATTCGCGGACACATTCAAAATTTCGATTTTGCTCATTTTTGGTTTGCTGGAAGACATTAGCAAGTAAACAAACGTGATATGTCGGCTGTCGGCGACCTCAAAAATATGCAAATTTTCAGTTGAATCAAACAGGTTCAAAAACAAGTAACGCATGCAAAGTAGGAAAAAGATGTGAAAACTATACGTTTGTAAGTCGATAGAAGAGATGCTTGAGACTTGATTTGGCATAAAATAATAATTTTAGCTATTAATTAAAACCTGACAGCTGATATTTAGAATCGTATGGTATTCACAAATAGCGAAAATTACGATGTACCGTTGCCACGCAAAAAACATTTTAACTAAGTGCCCCAGATTTTTTCCTCACAAAACTCACGTCATTAACTAATTATATGTTCTTCTAGAACATATAAAAAAATTAGTTTGGGTTATTGTATTTAGAGTTCGTACGGAGGCCGTGAATATTGGGTATTTTCGACATATAGCGTGACTGAAATCGACAAGTGTTTGTTCCTTCCGGTCGCTATTTTCTCATTCGTTTATATGTTCATTCAGAATTTAAACCCGAAAATGCCGTTAAAAATAAAAAGGCACCCTTTATTAGCAACTCACAGCGTTTTAGCAGTTACAGCATTTTTAGGAAGTGTCTCTAAAGAAGCTAACATCAGGTGAAGCAAGTAGAACTGACACGATTGGCGATCGCGCGCCACCGTACTGTACGATTAAATTTACTCTCCTGATAGAACAATCACAATATTTTTGGTTCTGTTTATATCTCGCAAAATGAGTGCAGAACCATTAACACTATTTTTATTGCTGCCAATCAAAGTCAATAAAGTACCTAAAAATTTGTTGAGTTTCGGTAATGGTCGAGTGTCGAGGGTCGAGGGTAATAGGTCGAGGGTCGAGGGTCATAGGTCGAGGTTCGAAAGTCGAGGTCGAAGGTCAAAAGTCGAGGTCGAGGGTCAGAAGTCGAGGGTCGAGGGTCGAGGGTCATAGGTCGAGGTTCCGAAAGTCGAGGTCGAGGGTCAGAGGTCGAGGGTCGAAAGTCGAAATTCAAGGGTCGAAAATGGGAAATATTAGTTTTTTATTAAACATTTCTAACTTTATTACTGTTAGTACAGAACATGCCTTAGGGCATAATTAGGTTCCTTTTTGTTTTTCGAGAAAGTGTAAAATTACTAAAACTATTCGAGAACATACGGTGCCGGTGGGGTGATTCGAAAATATATTGTATTTATTGTACTATCAGAACGAATCGGGTCCCAGCGCAGCAAAAATCTGTCACAATGGTCGTGAGATAATTCTGAACCGAACTAAAATCACCCTGTTATAAAGATTCGTGCTTCGTGCATGTTATTTTTGACAGAATAACTAAAGAAAGTTTCCATTTTATTACACTACAACGTTCTCGCAACTATATTATGAATATGAAACTGTCAATCGAACATGTGCACTTCCGGTGCAGACATGTAAACACGATGTTGTAAAATATATAAATATCAACTGTTTCTCGCACACCCTAACGCTTTAAACCTCCAAAACCATACGCGGTTTGAAGAGTATCGTTAAGTTGAAGTTTTGAGAATTTCAGAACTCTTTCGCCTCCAAGTCCAAGAGATAACATATTACCTATAGGCTATAGTCAGTTTCTCATGAGAGTGAAACGCCATTTTTGTATAATCGTCCGTGTTTGTATGTCTTGTATATTTTAAACTCCAATGTAAAGTAAAAGATGTATGCTTTCAAACATCAAACCTCGCATCAGTTCACAAACGAAACTTTCAGTTATACAGTACATAGCCATACGGCATAGCCATAGGCGAAATTTTTCAGTTTTGACAGCAAAACTAATTGTTTTGCCGCGTTTAATGGTTGTAAAACTTTTAAAATGGATAAAAATTTAGTATTTTCGACTTTCGACCCTCGACTTTTGACCCTCGACCTCGACTTTTGACCTCGACCTCGACTTTTGACCCTCGACCTCGACTTCTAAACCTCGACCCTCGACCTATGACCCTCGACCCTCGACACTCGACCATTACCCAAACTCGAAATTAATAATTGAAATCTCGCGGACGTTTTTAGATGTCGCCGTAGCTCTGTTTTACAACGGCACAATACAGATTATCACGTCTTGTATACAACGCTTACATTTCAAGCTGGGACAACTGTTATTTTAAATTGGGTCCTAGAACTTTTCTCAATTAAAACGCAATGTTAATTTTGATCATCAAACTGTATTATTTTCATACGATGGATAATAGACGACAAGTTTTCTTCCGCAATCATTTGGTTCAACGAGTTTGTTTGCCGTCGCCGTCGCGTTCCCATCCTACATGTTATGAATAATATAATATAAATAAATGTTAAGGTCGCTAATCACCGGTCCCTCACCTTCGTTAACGTCGGCGCCTTTACTCCCTTCTTTTAGCAATTATCTTGCAAAAAAGGAAATATATTTGCAAGAAATCATCAAATCAAGAAATGTTTGCTATTTCGCTGTCGTCTTACAGTCGTTATAATGCAAATTTTAAATTGGACCAATCAGTGTTGGCTATTCATGACTGTCCGCTATATTATGAGGTCAGTGAGGATGACTACCAACCGAAACACCGACAGCGACCCACGCCAGCGATCATTGATGAACTTTAGACTTCGCTAATGCTTTCCTTTTCCCGGGGGTAAATAGCTGGGCGGAATTAGTACCCTCGCACGGCGGTCCGCGCCGCTGGCTCGGGGATTAGAGTTTTACACATGCGCGGACAATGCTTGTAATTACTCATGAACAGAGGCATAGGAACCGGGGGCACAGGGGGCACGTGCCCCGTCCCCCCTCCCTCCCCTAATTTTTCAAAGGACCAAAATTGCCCTTTTTTGGAAAGTGCCTCTTTTGTACTAGCTAATGTTGTAAATATATTTACGTATGCCTTTTACATAAGCTATTGTTATGTTGTAAATACTATTCTGCATCATGTCAGGAAATCCAACGAAAAAAATTTATTGGAAATTTCGGAATCTTTTAAAAAAATCCCATCCAGAAAATCACATATTATTATTATTATTATTATCATCTTTATTAGGTTCAATTAATCATATATTACAAAGAAAACATATAAAATATTCAATCAAACTATTAATAGAATATATATAGACCCTAAATGGGCAAGGTATGAACGGGACTCAAAGAACCGTGCAAGATACCTTCCCAAACGTTATTAAAACTAATTTATGTCGCATTACACACACAAGACACAACTCTACACACACCTAGTGAACGACAGTTTACGTCCTATGACACGAACAGTCACGAAACAAGGACCACGGTACATTTCAAGTCATCATCATAAATAGAATCAACAATACTAGAGTATCTACGTTTAATTTTAACTAAACATTTAAAAGAACTAGGACTAGACACAGTGTCCAAACATCTTTACATGCAATGTTCCACAGTTTGACAACACGATTATAGTACGAAGATTGAAAAGTGCTTGTTCTACAAATTTGACTTTGAACAATGTACTTTGAGGTGTTACTCAGCCGAGTTCAACCGTGACTGACAAACGAGACACAGTTACTGACATCAAACATTAACATAACCAAACACAGCCTTGTACAGATACACCAAGTCCACGACCTCTTTGTCGAAGGTTAACGGCAGAAGGTCCAAGGCCAACATACATATAGTTGGACTTTATTTGGTGTAGTAACACTGGATTCTGTATCCTTACTGGCCATTTCTGGGAAGAACAATTTAGAACTGATAGAGTAATTCAATTCAAAAAAATAATGTTGGTTTAGTTTAGATTTCCTTCTGCAGTAACACTGGATCAATAAGAGATGATCCCCACTGGACGTCTGCATGGGAAGGACAGTTTGGAACTGATAGAGCTATCCAGTATAAATAAAGTTGGTTTAGTTTAGATTTCCTCGTGTAATAATTTCCAATACGCTTCTCTCGTATTCTCCCAAAATTCCCCGCGTGCATTATCACGCCATAAACGCACGCAACTCATTTTCTATATATTTCTTAAACAGGGGCCTGTCGGTAAGGAGTTTAAGTGATGCCCATATCCCCATTTACAAATTTGTAAAACTTGGAAAGTATAGCCAATTTTTAGGTGACCTAGTATGTAACTGGATAAGGCCCGTTTCAGACGCAGTACTCTTCATGTGCCGAACTTAATTGTATTAGATGCGACACAAGAACGGCAGTGATTCAAACGGCGTACCAAATACAATGTTATTGACAAGATCGGGGCGCATTCGCCAGCGAAACCTAAATAAAATTCAAAAAATAAGTTTATTTTTAGACTAAAGTTGAAGTTTGGCACATGAGTGGAGCGGCGTATGAATCAATGTCGCTCCAACGTCGCATAATGCGATAAGCTCTGCCGAATTACTTGTGTCGAACTTTTGCCGCTCCAAATTCTGCCGTACTTAATTGTTCATACGTCGATCTTCTGCCGTACCTAATTCATCAATTAAGTTCGGCACGCCGCACATGATAAGTACGCCGTCTGAAACGGGCTTTACAAATCCATATTCTATTGTCTGTGGTCATTGGTGTGTAAAATGCTTTGTCTGTCGGA